CTGTCTGTCTGTCTGTCTGTCTGTCTCACCTTACCATCTCTCTCTTTCATTCCCCCCCCTCTCTCTCTCGTTCTCTTTTTCTTTCTCGCTCTCTCCCTGTCTCTCTCTCTCCAGGAGTCTCTCCTTTTCCTTCCTCTCTCCTCCCCCTTCTCTCTCCTTCGCTCTCTCTCTTTCTCGCTCTTTGTCAAAATACATGATGTTCAGGGTTTTGAGGTGGAATCAATGGAATGACGTATTGTCTAACCTTGAAAGGGATGGCTAGCCTTATTTAAGTGATTAGGTTTAACGCTCCTCTCAAGACTATTGGATTATCCAAGAGACAGGACCTCCTCCGACTTTAACGTCGGTCTTCGTTAGGACCGAGCCAATCGGTTGAGAGCTAGACACTCAGAGAACGCACAAGAGCGTGTAGGTTGAGTGAGAGCCTTGAAAACTCCCCAAAAGGACCCAGTTCAAATACGGTCAGTCTAAGATTCGAACCAGGGCCATCAGCTCCTTTGTCCAGCATGATAACCTCTGAGCCAACGGAGCCCAATAGCCTTATATAAACTTGTCAAAACAATTGAAGTTGCAGAAACTTATAGGCCTTGTTTATTCTGTATCTTTTGTTTGTTTGTTTGTTTGTTTCGGTAAATGTTTTACGGCGCTCGCAAGAGCATAGGGTTTTATGAGCACGCGGGGCACATTAAACTTTTTCAGTTTGGGCAGAATTTTGAATTTTGCCCGGGTGGCGCCGAAATCTACTCAACGATTTTAGGACCACAGAGGGATCTGTAAACTGTGCAACTGGCACACGGGACCTCCGAGATTTTTCACCCGTATCCGAAAAGGCTAGGTGTTAGATCTTACCTACCATTAGATCAGGGGTGAAGCTGAAAGACAGCAGTGAGAAGGAGCCAAGGAGTAGGGCCAGAAAGGCAGCAGAAAGAGTCCGGATCTCAGAGGAGGAGGCAAAAGGGAGGGGAGAAGGAGGCAGAAAGTGGAGATGAAAGCTGACAACATAACCCGGTTTGAGAATAGGAAAGGTGGTGAAAAGAGACAATTCTAGAGAACCGTCGCAGTCAGGTTTCGAACCCGGGACCTATTGAATAACACCATGACCTCAAGACCACGAGAGCCCCCATTCTGTATCTTTGTGCAGTTCCCTCTCAACTTTGTGAACTTCTCTCCAATAGGTTGATGTGTCACACCAGACATGAAAGGGAACGGGGAGGGGAGGCAGTGTGTGTGTGTGTGTGTGTGTGTGT